AAAGAAAAGACACTTAAAGCCTTTCTAATAAATCTGAAGAGGCATAGGCTGGGAATGTGGCTTAGTGGTAGAGTGCTTGCCTAGCATGCATGAAACCCTGGGTTCCATTCCCTAGCAACATATAAACTGAAAAAGTCAAAAGTGGTGCTGTGGCTTAAGTGGCAGAGTGTTAGCTTTGAGTGAAAAAAGCTCAGGGACAGTGCCCCAGCCCCTAGTTCAAGCCCCAGGACTGGCAAAAAAGAGAGAGAGAGAGAGGAGGAGGAGAAGAAGAAGAAAAAGAAGAAGAGAAGGAGGAGGAGGAGGAAGAGGAGGAAGAGGAGGAGGAGGAGGAGAAGCAGATACTCAATATATGTAAAAATATTTTTGCAGTTTTGAGAACCATTAACCATGATAAAAGAGAGAGTAGGGGATACTGACATTGGTTAGTAAATCTTTCTGAATTTGGAGTTCCAGAGTAACTATCCAATTGTCTACAATGGCACACGGCAAATACCATTCAAGTGGAAAAAAGATAAAAATAATTCATTACATACAAAACATGCTTGAAGGTATTAGAGCTAGGGAAGTGAGTTACCAAGGGCTGCTTCAGAGTATTCTTCTAAATTTGAATCTCTTCTACAGAAATTTAATATTAAAAGGGCTTTGTGACACTAACTTGTCTTCACAAGATAACTTTTAATCTGTTTCTTTCTTTGGGAGGTACACAATTTCTTCCCTTATAAACATTTGAATTGTGGCATCATTCAATCACTTCTGTGTTCAGTGAGATCTGTTCACTGGGCACTGGTAGCAATTGCATTTCAGAAATTGAACTGTGATGTGATCTTTACACACTACTTTATCTGACAGATGGGAATTTTGATGAAAAGTGTTTTTTTTATTAATTTGAGTTGTTTTAGTAATGCAGTTATTTCATTTTTTGTTTTCTTTGCTGCTTTTTATTTTGGGGGTGATGGCGTTTGCTTTGGTTAGTCATGGGACTTGAAGAGAGTCTAGGCGCCGTCCCTGAGCTTTTTCTCTGGTTAGTGTTCTACCAGGTTGAGGAACAGCGCCACTGTGTTTTCTGGTGGTTAATTAGAGATAGTCTCAGAGGATTTCCTGTCAGAGCTGGCTTTAAACCACAATCTTCAGATCTCAGCCTCCTGAGTAGCTAAGATTACAGACATAAGCCTTGCTTTACTTTGCCTTAATTTATTGCCATTAGAAAATGAACTTTAACTGGGTTCTGGTGGCTCATGCCTGTAATCCTAGCTACTCAAGAGACCAACATCTGATTTGAGACCAGCCCAGAAAACCAAATCCACAAGATTCTTACCTCCAATTAATCACCAAAAAGCCAGAAAGGGAAGTATTACTCAAGTGGTACAGCACCAGCCTGGAGTGGAAAAACTAAGCTAGAGCTCAAGGCCCTGAGTTCAAGTCCCAATACTGGCACAATAAATAAGAAAAATTAGATACCAAGGTAAACATTTCAAATTAGAAGATAAAAAAACTTTGGGGCTGGGAAGGTGGCTCAGTGGTAGAGTGCTTGCCTTGCATGCATGAGGCCCTG